ATTCCTGGATTATAGTAATATATCTAATTAGCAATTAATGTACTAGAAGTATTTGCAATGTAATTTGTTTTGTTGGTCACAAACACCAGTCTGCAGCCCTTTCAGGGGGTGACTTTTTTCCCTCCAAGTGGAATGAGTACCTGAAAGCTATTTCTTTTTTTTTAACATTGGGGAGAAAAAAGGATGTTGAAGCTGTTACAGAAAATTCAAATCTAAAGTGAATGATAAAGCAGACAGAAATCCAAGGGGACCTGTAATTGTACAGTTAACCCTGCAAAAGTTAGGTGCCAGCAAGTGGTTACACTTTTTCTTCCATTACCTGTAATTTAGAAGGTATTTCTGACTGTATTTTTAGGAATGCCTTTAATTCAGCATTTTAATTGGACCAAACTAGAATGCTTTCTTCATTTAGAAAAAAATGTTAAGGTATTTCTTTATCTATTTCAGCAAAAGAGACGAAAAGAAATTGAACAAAAACTTGAAGTACAGGCAGAGGAAGAAAGAAAGCAAGTTGAAAATGAAAGGCGAGAACTGTTTGAAGAAAGACGTGCTAAACAGACAGAGCTGCGGATACTGGAGCAAAAAGTTGAGCTTGCTCAGTTGGTGAGTTTTTAGTGTTGCTCTTAACCTTTCTCTTGTGTAAACTGTTCTTGGTATTTCAGTGTTATTTCTTTCATTTCTCAGCAAGAAGAATGGAATGAGCATAACGCTAAAATAATTAAATACATAAGAACGAAGACAAAGCCCCACTTGTTCTACATACCTGGCAGAATGTGTCCTGCTACACAGAAGTTGATGGAAGAGTCACAGAAAAAGATGAACGGTAAGTGGTCTTTGTGATACAAAGGCCCTTGTTCATGGTTAGGACAAACTATATTCTTGCATAGATGTTCATCATAAGTGAACATTACTCTTTCAGTGACTTTTTTTATGTTGGATATGCTTTGATTCTCTTAGAAGAAATCAAAATAGGTGTATGCATAATCTCAGAGGTATGTCTTTAAAGCATAGTCCTTTATATTAGCATTAGTACCCAGATGGATGGCAGTGCAGCAGCTTGGGTTTTGAAAAGGCAGATTCTATGGATTGAAAACCCAAGGAAGTGCAGGTTTTTACAAAGTATTTGAGAAGTGTTTTCTTAAGTACAACACTAGAACTTTACGATTTTGGGTTTTTTACCTTAATGTGTGTTCATTTCTGTTTCACGGGATGACTATTTTTCTTTTGGAAAACAATTTAAAATACTGCAGTTGCTGGTAGTTCTACTGTTCTTTTTTATTAAACTGAGAATGTATTGTTTTTTCATAAGGAGCTTTTCTTCATCGTGTGGGTTTGGGGGATAAGAGAGGCTAGCTCACCTGTCTGCAAAGCTTACATTATTTAAACTTTCTTAACACCATAACCAGCTTTTTTTGCTGATTCTGTCTTTTGTTTACTTTAGGAAGTATAACCTTGTTAATATATAAATACCAGGAAATTAAGGTATAATTTTGATATACTGTTGATTGGATTGATTTTAATTAAGTCAAAAACTTTCTTAGCTTAGATTTAGGGCTTTACTGTTCTGATACTCAGCTGAGTTGACTATCCCCTTTTCTGTGTTTCTTAAGGTAACTAGCAGTCTTTTTCACTGTGCGTGAATGGCTTGCTGCTCCAAAATGAGTAAGGGTGCAGTATTTATAAGTTAAAACAGTTGGATATCTTAGTAGCTGATAGTTAAGGGGGAAATATATGTCAGCGTGTGTAGATTATCTGAAACTGTTACTTATCCATTTATTCCCTAGCACTCTTTGAAAGCAGGCGAAATGAATTTGCAGAGCAGATTAACAAAATGGAGGCCAGGCCCAGAAGACAATCTATGAAGGAAAAAGAACAGCGGGAGGTGCAGAATGAAGAAAAGAAGGAAGAACAGAACAAGGAGCAGGATGAGGGTAAGGCGGTTCAGCAGGTGGAAGAGTTGGAGACAGGTAATCAGCACAATGATGTAGAAATGGAGGAGGTAGGGGAGGAAAAGGGAAAAGTAGGGTCAGGGCATAGTGATGCAGAGAAAGAACAGGAAGAGGATGAACAGAAACATGAAATGGAGATTAAAGTAGAAGAGACTACTGAGGTGAGGGAGAATGACAAGCAACAGGATGGTCAACATGAAGAGGTCACAGTTGCAAAAGAGGAAAGTGAAATCATTCAGCCAGTGGATAATGAGCAGGATGTGGCTGAAATGAATGAGGCAGATAGTGTAGAACCTGTAGAAACTGAAAATGGCAAAGAAATGGAACTAGAAACAGATTGTGATCCTCAGCCAGCCAAAGTGTGTAATGTTCCTTCTCCTGAGAAGGAGATAGGTGTCAAACCAGAATCTGAAGCTGAACCTGAAGAAAAACAGGAGAAGGCACCTGAAGCTCAGCCAGAAGCTGTGGCTGAGGCTCCATGTCAGCCACAGTCTGTGCCACTGTCACAGTCACCTCAGTTGTCTCGGTCCACTCAGGATACAGAGCCCCAGGCAGACAAGGATGAAAATGCTGTGGTGTCTGTAAAGGTAGTTGAGGCACAGACAGAGCAGAGCCAGACACAGAGTACAGAAATTAAGAGTAAGACTAGGAGTAGAAGCAGGGGCAGAGCAGGGAACAAAACTGGTAAGAATCATAGCCGTAGTAGCAGCAGCAGTAGTAGCACTAGTACTTCAAGCAGTACTAGTAGTGGAAGTAGTTCCAGCACTGGCAGCAGTAGCAGTCGGAGTAGTTCCACCAGTAGTAGCACTACAAGTGGAAGTACCAGCAGGGACAGTAGCAGCAGTAGCTCTACCACTAGTGAAAGTAGAAGTCGAAGCCGAGGCAGGGGGCATAACAGAGAGAGAAAACACAGAAGGAGCACGGACAGGAAGCGAAGGGATGCTTCAGGAGTAGATAGAAGTCACAAGTCCTCAAAAGGTGGGAGTAGAGATACCAAAAGCTCAAAAGATAAAAGTTCAAGATCTGACAGAAAGAGGTCTATATCAGAAAGTAGTCGGTCAGGCAAGAGAACTTCACGGAGTGAAAGAGACCGTAAATCAGACAGGAAAGACAAAAGGCGTTAACAGAAGAGACCAAGCTTCCTTAGCCTAATCTTTGCAGCAGAAGATAATTTGAGAGAAAGGATTCCTTGTAAGGAGGAGGAGAAGGCTGCCTTAAGAATTGCATGCTGTAAAAAATCTTTTGGAAAAATGCAGACTGTTTACCAGGCATTCTTGTACTTTTTACATAATTTTGTAAAAGGTTACCAAAATTATGTGAAGTTCCTGAAAATGTAAAAATAAAAGATTAACACTCCTTTGCATCTTTTTTTTTAAATATCCTGTACTCATTAATATCCTCTGTATATTTTATTAGGTAAACCTTTAAGTAGGTGTGATGACTTCTGTATCATACTTCTTTTTTTTGTAGAAATAAATGTGCGTTTTAAATAAATTGTTTGAGATGTCCTGTTGACAAATTCTCTTTTTAGATCATATGTAGAGAGGCAGCGTTGCAGGAGACATAAAACTTAGCTTTTCCCCTCTATTCCTTGCAAGAATGGGAATCTTAAGACCCAGTAAGGGGAGTAATCTCTCCAGTTCTGGGTAGGAAGGGAAACTATTTGATTTGCATCTATACTTTTTGTTTCTTCTGTAATCACAAGCACTTATTCAATTCTATCTTGCAGTTTTATAAAACTTTTGTATCAGTAGGCAGGCAGTGATTAAATGGGAATGTTTACACTGGCCAAAATAGCTCAAGTCAGTCTGGAATACCACTCTTATCTGCCTTCTGCAGGTGCTTTTGGTAGTATTTGCATCTGTGTTCTGGAGACGGTTAATCTATTTAGTTATGTTCCTTGCTTTGATGGCCAGTGGCAGAAAGACTTCAGCTTGCTTCTCAACCAAGATGATTTTAATTTTAGTTGCAGACAAATCTTTGATCCCTTCATACCACTAGGAATAATTATATTGCAGTGTTGGAGTTACCTGGGACTACCTAATACTAATGTTCTGTGTGTGTAAGAATGCTTTCTGAATGTATTTAATACAACTTGAAGTGGTATGGTGTTATCTATGAAGGTGAACAGTTTTTATATAATTTTGTATGGAAAACAATAACATCTGTTGCTCTGTTCTGTACTTGTGCAAATAAATGTGGCTTTGTAGACTACTCTTTTGATGCCTATGATGTTTTCTATAATACAGGTGTATTACTTTAGTCTTTCTATGTTTAAAGCATCAATTGTAATTGCGGGTGACTACTTTGTAACCTCTGTATTCCAAATTGTTCTTACAGGCTTTAACTAATGCCTGTTATCTGAATATGGAACACTGCTGCAATCTGTGTTGTCTTGGCAGGAAGAGAATTCTTACATCTCATGCCAAATTGCAGACCAGAAATCCTAGAAAGATTTCAGAATGGAAATGACATGTAAGCTTATCTTAGTGTACAAAAAGCCATATACCATTTTTCTGTAATACAGAGCAGACTTCTGCAAAGTTCTAGTTTGAGAGGGCATCAGTTTTTTTAATTATTTTTTTTTCCATCTAAACTGAGAATTACATGCTTCTCAAGTGCTGAAATTCCTGGCTTAAATGTGTTTTGCAAGGGATGGAGTATTCTTTCAGCACAAATAGACACAGTGGAAAGCTCCTCAGTCTTCTCAACAAGTTCAATACTTTATTCTGGTCCTTCTGTCCATTTACTGGTTTAATATTTTTCTCTGCTGCTCCATAACTGAGAATTCTCTAGTTCTTGTCAGTAGCCTCCAACCATATTTCCTTCCCTTCAGAAGAATGTGGTGGTTTAATTTGCTTTCTTTTTTGAAGGACAAGTAAAAATTAAAATGTCTAATTGAAGATGTTAAACACAGCAGTTTACCACAAGGAGCAAACTTCACTGAGTAGTTAAGTAAGCTGGAGAACTAGGTTGCTAACCAGAAGCCACTGTTTCAGAGAAGCATATTAGTGGGGTTTATAAAAACAATGTGGTGGGCCCTGGTAACTGAAGTAGGGATTGATTACATTGTTTCAGGTCATATTACAAGCACCAGTGTATTTTTGACAAGGTGAAAATATGGGAGTTGTTTCTGTATACAAAGCTGATGATAGTTTAATGTTTGTTAAACTAAACTTTCTAGCACGGTTAAAGTGTGCTGTTAATACTTACCTGTGCTAAATCTAAGCAGCTCAATGCAACATAAATATAAGTGTGAGACAATTCATACTAATGAAGTTTTCTAAAAGCTAGATATTTTGACCAATATTCCACTACAGAAATAGCATAAGATAGTACACTATTATCACAATATTGGATCAAGACCCATGTCTTTATGAAGCAGTACCATTTTGGTAATTGTTGCATTTGCCCTCAAGGTCCTATCCTCTTACCCTGAAACAATTTCAGAGCTGGGAGCATGAGTACAATTTCCTTCCTCTGTTCCCACCCTACTGATTAAACTAGCTGACAATTTCAAGACTGAATTTGATGCAACAGTAAGGGGTTTCTGAAAATTTGGTATAGATGTTTTCTTTTTTCCCTCCCCCTAGTGGTGAGTTGAGATAATACCTTGTTGTCTTTTCACTCAATGTGGGAAAGAAATTAGAAGAGGAAAAACTAAGAATGAAGTAGAGATGCTTTATGTGAGTGGGCAACATACCATGTATGCTCTGTCTGTTGTGGAGTGCTTCCATCAGATGGTCACTTCAATTTTTAAATACAATTTTAGAAGACATTTGGAGTGTTTTTTTCCCTTTACCATTTACTTGCTTTTCATTGTTAGAAGGCTCCAAGAATGCTGTTTTTTGCCGTGATGCTTCACTCAGAGTCTTTGTCAAAGTACGTTTTACGCAGATTGTTAATTAATTATAAACTCTAATATGACTGTGTAAAAAGTACACCTCTTCAAATTCCTTCTCCTTTCCTTAAAGTGATGTCTTTATGCTTAGAACAGCTTCACTGTATGTATTTGAAGAAAATCTGAACATAATTTTTCTGTAGAATGTCTGTGTTAGTGAACTAAATAACCCTCTCCAGCAATTAATTTCCAAAGCCATTAAATTTGCAAACCTATTTTTAAAGCATCTCTTGTTTATCAGGAAAGAAACACACTTGTGTCTAGGTCCCTAAAAAAGACTTAAAATTTGAGGTTCAGATTCAGTTGCTGATGAAGCAATTAGTGCGGGACAATAGGGCAAACCTATTCATTTTATGCATGTCCCAGATCTTTAAAATTTGTTTCCCTGCACAAAGAAGTATTTATGAGACTACATGTGTTTATGATGTGACTGCTGTGGCAGTGGTGGATGAGTAATGTACAGAGATCTGTGTTTTGGAGGATGTAATTTTGCTTTTTCAGACTTCCTCCCTATCTCCATCTCAGTTTTATAGCAAACCTGTGCTTTATCACAAACCTTCTTCAGAGTGTTGTTTCTAGGTGACAGTTCTATTAGATGGTAAAATGTGAGGCATTCAAAGCTTGGACATATTAACAAGATTCAAAGTAATATAAGTCACAAGTTCCAGGATCATCTAGAAATGCACTGTTAGTTGTCATGCTTATAACTGGTTTTATAACATGGAAGCAATAATGGCTTTTCCTTGTGATTTGTTATCCTGGCTGAAAAAGTTGGTTTAAATCTGGTTGATGAATGACAGTTACCTGTTTAGATTTGTCTAACCACAGGAGTAAATTTGTTCCTTTTCTTCCTTTGACTTACTCATTTTTTTTAAGATACTTGGGTTTTTAGATAAATAAACCTTTCTGGCATGACATTCAATTTTATGTAAAAGTTGATCTGTATTTTCATTCAAACATCGTAAGTCAAGACAACTCTATTTTTAAGGTGCTTTTGCTGTGGGCTACATTCTTCCACATAATAGTGTAAAATGCTGCACAATTAAGCCCTGCATTCTGTATGGAGCCTTGTGATGCTACTATACAAATATAACCAAAGCTGTATATACGTTGTTCTCTATATGTTGTTATGAAACATATAAATATATGTTGTTACAAAATAGATGCTGACTTTAATGCACTTAGGAGAACTTCTACCAATTTAAGATTTTCTTTGTTTTTAATGCAGTTACTGATAATATAGGAAGTGCAACATCTATTTTACTTACACAAAGCTATGTCTTAAAAGAGCATTCAGTGTGCTGTGCTACTCAGTTTATTTAAATTACACCATATATTCTGAGTTGATCCTTCTGTGAATTTTAAGGTACCATAAGGGATATCAGCATTCTGAGCTCAGCAGTTAAAGTTACTAAGGTGTCATTGCAAATAAAAAGTTAGTAATTTAATCCCAACAGAAGCTGTTGGACATAGATCTTACTCTTTCATTAGCATTGTTTGGTTTTGCATGAGTAATAATTCATCTGTTGCTTCAGTTCTGCAGAACAGGAATTAACTGAAGTCTTAACTCTATCTGCTATAAAGCTTTCAACTTTGTCCTTTGGAAGCCAGCTATCATAAACTCCATGAATTTTTATCTTCAACTTAAGTTCAAAGGTAATTAGAAGTTATGTTTGAATAACATCTGCAAGTATAGGATTTACACTCAGAACAGCAGAATATTTTATATAAATATGATTTATTATTGAAGTTACTAGAGGAACAAATAGAGATCAGAGCAGTGCTCATGAGCCTTTTAAGAGTTTCACACCTAGATGAATGATGGTTGAGCCTAAGATACACAACTAGCAGTACCCAGAATAACTTGACAATTGCAGATGTGCATTAGACAGAGCAGCTAGGATGAGCTGCAACATTTTATCTTCATATGAGGACTAGAGAATTAGTTTGGCTGTCCATGGAACTGAAGGCAGAGCTACTTTGACAAATACAGTAATCATCACATTCAGATTCCAAAGTGTGGGTCTGATACTTTGTTCTCTTCCTGAAGTACTTAATTTCAGGTGTCAGAATACCTGACTTTTCCATGTTTAGGTGAATCAGCTCAATGCTGATTACCAAGCTCAAAAAGGGACAGTTAACCTTTCTAGGCACATTATTCTTTTCTGTTCCATGTTCAGTGTGCAACATTATGAAAGGCTCCTCTGACCAGTTGTTAATCTTGGTGGAATAAAAATATTGTCTTTTTTTGATTTTGTACAACACTTGGCATATATAGAGTCCCACCAGTACAGATGTCTTGTATACTCCTTCTAACAAATCTGTTCTAATCTGTGGAGACTTGGGAATGAAAGAATAAATAAAAAATGTCCATTCTACTTCTCTGCTCACCAGCTTTCTTTGCATGTATCATGTTTTACCTGCTTGGTATTCTCTTTCTTCCCCTTCACATCCTACAGGTAAACCTAGAGGACACCAGGGAAGGTCCCAGATCACTAATCCTCTAAGCAACATGAGATCCAGGGGAGTGAATGTTGATGCTGAGAATGGGGCTGCATCAAAGGAGTAAGGGCTGATCCCCGGTCCACAGGACAGCTCTCAGGTGGAATGCCTAACAGCAGAGGCAGCTGCTACAATAGGTCATAGGACAGACTTGTCTGACTACCACCAGGTCATGTGGCAAAGGAAGGGGCCAAAGTGTTAGATTGCAACTAGAGAGCATGTCATCTACTGTGATTTTTTTGTTTGCAGGACATTGCTGGTTAACGTGACCCTGGCTCGCCTTGTGGCCTCTCTCCCAGCCTCCAGTAGATGCTCTGTCTGCTGGCTCAGTAGATCAGGCTAAGCATCAGTGCCTGGTAGGTTTGGGTTCTGGAGCAGGAGGGAGGGGAAACTATACTGCAGGTAGGACACAGCTTAGGTTCATGGAAAAGAGAGCATTCTGCATGAGTCACGCTCAAGACTGAAGGAGGGACAGGCCTATGACTGCAAGTATTATCAGGTTGGGAAGGAATGCAGATTCTCAGGGCACTATCAAGAAGAGAGAGAGAAGAGGCTAACTCATGGAGAGTGGGAAAGGAAAGGTGAAGCCCCTTTGTAAGTAAATGGTACATACTGTGTTTAGGTCACCAAGGAAGTGCAGGACAATGATGTGAAGCCTAAGAAGCAAAGCTTGCTTGTAACACAAACCTCTCTCCAGGATTTCATTGACAACACAACTTCATGCCTACACAACCAATGAACAGCTCCTTACATATTTACTACTTTAAAGCATACCCAGTATTTGAAAAAAACATTATTTGTAACTCCACATTGGATAATATGTTACCAAGAATTAGTAAGTATTCCTAAAAAAGCAGGACATCATTGCTCTGAGAGCAGATCAATTTTATAGTTTCCTTAAGAGAGTGAGAACTGCCAATCACCTTTAAAAGGCTTTGGAGGTGAGTAAGTGTTCCCCAGGCTAAAGGGCTGTACTTGGCCCTTTAGTGCATGAGAAAGCTCCAAGAATATGTGGAAAAAATCCAAGTTCCCAGTGACCACCTATATATAATCAAAAACATATCTGTGCACACAAAATACAGTTTATTAAACTAAAAAATTTTCAGTAGCTATAGTAGCAATCATGCAAATCAATATAAGCATACAATTGATTGTCCATCTAAGAATCAGATGGAAGTTTTATATTAAAAATGCATTCCTACTTTAAAAAATAATAATACAATTCATTGAATTTTCCCTAACACAATCTTCCACAAACTCAGTACAAAATAACCTATTTGACAGGGGCTAAATTTTTATGTAACTGGAACTATTTTCTTTGTATTCAAGACATCAGTCTAGCTATGAGAATAAAGTTAATTATTAAACATATGTGTACAATCAGGACACCTGACTTTGCAGATTGTTAGTAAGTTAGTGTACTTTTGTTTAAGCTGATGAGAGAAGGAAACTATGATTGTATGTTTACTTGCAATGTTTTGTTAGGCTAAGAAACGTAATGTAGAATATTCTTGCATACTGCACATTGATGCAGTTTCCACGGTTTCAGTGTAATTGTAGATTAAGTCTAAAATGTCGAGGATCTTGGATCAGAGAATTTTTCTGTTAGTAATGTCATTTTTAACAAGTCTGCAGAGTACAAAGGTTCTTTCAGAATGGAAGAAGTGTGGTGATCGGGAATGTGAGAGTAAGTAAAAGTTTTTTTTCAAAATGAGTATATGGTGTGTGTGTCAAAATTAACAACAAAAAAGACTGAAAATGTTCATTGTTAATATACTAAAGTTTGTGAGCAAAAGGCTTAAACTTTTCAAAGGGAAAAAATATTTGCTGGATTGTGTTGTATCAGTATATAAAGATCAAAGTTCAGTAAAATTACTCTTGAATAGCTAGTTTTTCTCAGGTTTTGTCAAAACAGGCAGTATAAAGAAGCTTTAAAGTATTTTTAACTAATTATTTAACTAGTTCTTTACAGGTCCAAAATATATGTTTAAATCCCCCCAAAAATAGGCTATAAATCAAGAAAGAAGCCTATATATCTTGTGTTTACAGTACATTCACAGCCCATTCTATGAAACTCTGTTTTTTCTAGTGTAAACAAACTGGTTTGAGATTTTTGTGATCCATCTTACAAAAAACACTGTTAATAATATATCCTCTCATTTTTTCTTCTTTAACATGAAGTGCAGTAACTAGTTACGAAGTTTATAGGGAGCAAATAGCTCTGCAGGAGGTAGAGCCACTGAATCACAAGTAAGCAGCAATAAATAATGTCCCATTTATTATACATTGTTTATCATTGTGGAACTTTTCATAATTGTATGTAGTTGAAGCTGTTTCTAAGCTGTCTTCATTGGTTTGACAGCTTTAACTGTTGAAGTTTAAAAGTTAATTTATTGTCCTGAAGTGGAAGAAACCTTAGATTTCCTCTGCTGATGGATCTTTATTTTCCTGTGGAGCCATACTGACTACAGTGGGTTCTGGATGCTCAGAGACGTCTGTCTTTGTGGAACAGCATGTGGAATGGGCTCCAAACTGAACAGAGCACATCAGTGCTGGTTTCTGTGGAGAGACAGGGGTGGAAACACAGATAATGTGCAGTTATTAACATGTAATTGGAAACTTTATTTTTAGCACTGTTTGAGATTTACATTGCTTAAACTCTACACATTTTCTTCATAAAACAAATGTATTCAAAACAGAAGACAAAATCCCTGAAGTAATTGCTAGATTTAGCTTAGAATTTCTAAAACACACAATTATAAATACACCTGAGAAATATTTTTTAGCTGTTCAGATCTTGCTTTAGTAGTTGAACTTGCTATTTCTGCACACTTATTTCAGCACTGAAATCTTGGCTGAATAAGGACTTGAAAATGCTTGTACAGGACAACAGCTTTTATCCTTGGTAAAAAGGAAAAAGGAAAGAAAAAAGTAAAAAGGAAAGAAAACAGGCTAGGACTGCTTTCTACATCAGTTGCTTTCCACATTAGTTGCTTTCTACTTGATTATATAAATGGATGAGTATCATAACAAAGCACAAATCCATGTATCAACACACATGTTAATGTATTAACAGTGTCTGTCAGACTTCTTCGGCTACCTACCTGACTCCAGACAAAATGGCTGCTATACTTACTTGTTTTCTTTCTACACCCCATCCAGCTGCAATGAGCAGAGTTCAAGCCACCACAGACTACTTAGCGCCTGACTGCCGGTATCTTAACTTCAAAACAGGGGAAGAGATAATGGTATACTCCAAACTTTCAAGGAAAAATGAAAACTTGTGGACAGGAAGTGTAAGTACTTAAATCTGAAAGACTTTCCTCACAAATAATTTAGATAGTAAAACAACTGCAGTCTGCTTGCTTTTAGGGATCTTCCATCTCTTCTGTGATACTAATGAGCCATGGGTCAATACAGCATTTGGGAGATGGGTCATTGTTATTATTTTAATATAGAAAGGGAAAATAAAATCTTGGCAAAGATCATGGAGAAACACAAGATCAGAATCCAAGGTTTCTGTCTCTTTCCTCTAACCACTTGGCTACAGTGATTTCATGTGGTTCCTTTAAAAACATTCCAGTCTATCAGGTCAAGGTACCTACCTACAAGTCTGTGGGTAAGGAGGTTTTACCATTGCTTAATCAGCAATTGAGTAGTAGGACCTGACTTCACAGTTCAGTGCTCAAGGAAAGTTCCCAGAGAAGCTATCACACATACGTAATGATTTGGAACAGCTGATAATGTAGTTAGAACAGCCATGTAGTTATGTTACACCTAAGAAGGAACAGATGTATTGATCAGAATCCAACTGCTGGTAAAACTGTAAGTGCTTCAAAACCGGAAGATATTGGTAAATGTTTTTGTTAGGATGTTTTTGGTTGTGGTTTTTTTTGTTTGTTTGGGTTTTTTGTTGGTTTGTTGGTTTTGTTTTGTAAATGATCTGTCACTTTAGCAGTGAGGTTCTGCCTTCCTTGGTTTCATCTGAATATCTTTGCAGGTACCTCACTCTTCCTTGCTTTCTGAGCTGTGCTATGTGCAGTGGTTTGATGTACAGATAGTGGCTGGTTTCTTGGTGAGACTGAGCCTTGCTTGATTCTTTTGGGCATTATCATCAAATGTCATTGCCATTTTCTCTCCAGCTGCAGCTGGCCTTGTACCTGACTTCCAAATCCTACTTTTCTTGTAATTTATTATGGGTCACTAGTTATCAGGGCACAATTTTCCTCCCACTTCAGTCAGTGGGAAATTTGCAGACAATTTTAGTAGGAGCTGGCTGAGACCATCTGTGCACAGAACACTGTCTTCAGCTGAAGCAGAGTTAAGGCTACTGGTTCGGTTCTGCACAAACACACGTTCATCAATATCATACAGAAAATAAAAGTATGAAGTAATATACTTCCCCTTGCTTTCTGAAATGACAAATGGAACACCTGTGAAGAAAAAATAAACCAATTTCTTCACCAAATAAAATGAAGGGAGCAGGAAGCAGTCCTAGAAACTTATTGTTTATTCATACTTTTCTAGCATATATGCAAGCACCTAACATACTTATCACCAAAGTTTAAATGCTCTCATTCCTTTCATGTTTTTGCAGAAAGGAAAGGATTTTGGATATTTCCCAAAAGATGCTGTCAAGGTTGAGGAAGTTTTTATTACAGAAGAAGTTGAAGTGCTTACTAAGGTAAATCACCAGATTTTCCAAAGCAGTTCACAGAAATTGCAAATCTAATATCCAGATAGAAATGCAAGTGTCAATGCATATTTTATTTAATTGTTGCTCCATTTTTGTATCTCTTGTGCTGTAAAATAATTTGTATTCAAAAAATTATATAGAGCCATTAAGAAGAATATAATTACATAGAGTGCTTTGTCTGAAGTTATACACATGTATAACCACAAAGAAAGAAAGAGAATAAAGATATATTGCTGTGCCACACAGTGCTGTAGAAAATTACACATGAAAACATTGTAATAGTTAATATTGTTCTTTTAGGAAACTGATTTCCTTTGTCTTCATGGAGATAAGTATGCTTTTGAAAATGATGATAGTGCATTACATGATCACAACAAAGAAAGTGAATATTCATCATCTGATGCAGAATCAAAGCTACATGGAAATGAACTCTTAAAACATACCAGAGACTCCACGCAAAAGGAAGAAAGAGTTGCATCAGCTTCTGAAAATGACTACCAGGAATCTCAGACTCTGGAGGAGTCTGCGAGCAAAAATTTGGCTAAAGAAAATGAGAACAGAAAAGATGACACTGAAGAGCCACAAATTCAAGACAGTTTCCCACTAGAATCCATTCCAACTCAGTCTAGTTGGATTACAGGATGGTTCAGCACTGGAGATGAAAATGATGAAGAGCCCTTAAAAGCTCTTACTGAACCTTTAGAAGAAAATACATACCGAGGCAGAAAAATAATGGTAACTGCTGAAAAGGACTTACAGGAGTCAGATGATAAGGAGGAAGAAGAACCCGCAGCATCTGTTTGGTTTCAAGGTGGACTGACAGACTTCCTGTATTTTGGTGAAGAAAATGTGGATGTTGGTTTGGCATCAGAAGAAAATGATTCACAAATCCATGATGTTTCTGGGATGCCTGGACATTCCGATAATGAACAGGAAACAGCAGTCACAGAATTACTGACAGAAGAAGAAGGGAGTGAGAGCCAAGAATCTGAATCAAGTTGGTTTAACTTGGGCTTAAGTGATGTTCTTAATTTTGGCCATTCTGAGAAAGATACAATGGAAGATCAGCAAAGCAGAGAAACCGGGAATGAAGCAAATAAGGATCAAGTGCAGATTTTAGACCAGAAAGAATCACACATGGACAAAGAATCAAAGGAGACAGTTAAAGCAGTGACAGATGAAGAGAATTACACACAAGAAATAACAGATTCAAACAGTAACATGCCAAATCCTGGGAAGACACCAGCAAGTGCGCATAGTCTAAGTGACATCAAAAGCACCTCAAGTGGCACAGAATCATATTTTGATATACTATTGGGTGACAAAAAGAAGCCAATTGAACCCTGCAGTTCAGAACAAGACTTGGTATCAGAAAGCCAGCCACTGAAAAACACTGAAGATACAGAGAGAAATCAGGAGTCAGACAGCAAACATGGCCAGTCAGGTTGGTATACAAATATCTGTAATAGTTTTATTAATTATATGATGACATATATGATAATCAACAGGGACATTCATCAACTGCATCAAATCAGATTTCTTCTCCTCCCAGGCCACCTCTGAATTGTGATCCCTCAGATACAAATAATACAGAAGAAAAGCCTGACACAGCTGAAGAACGGAGCAGTTTCTTCTCTTTTAGTCATTTTGCAGACTAAAGTTTCAGATTTCAACAGCAAAAGAAAAGCAAGTGCAGAGTTTTCAAGATTATGCATTTTTTAGTGAAGAAACCCCCAAAACTTAAAATTATTATGAAATATTACAGAGGAATAATAACAGAGCAACAAAAGTACATATAAATCAGAGAGTTAGTGAGGAACTCTCTGAAAAAGATGAGGGTGCAATCCAAGAAAGCAACCTGTGCTGGGAGTGCAAAATAATAAACACAGTGATGGAAAACGAGTTGTCAAATTAGTTAGTGCTAGTGATGCTTCACAAATTGTATATGTTGAAACACTAGTACAACCTGAAGTGACTCAAAGACAGTCTGTACCTTTGTTTAGTTATTCCAGTGATGAGGAATGTGTTCCTAAGAGTAGTGAAAGTCAGGAAAACACCAATATAAAAGGTTAAAAGGACCTGTCTCCAAAGATTCTCTATATTTACCTTAAACATTACATTTTGAAAATACAGTGGAAAATGGAACTACTCTGCAGGGAAAATAAAAAATGGCAATAGCTGAAACAATGAAAAAAGAACAAAATAACCTGAACACTTGTATTCAAGAACCTGTAAATTCAGAAAATGAATTACCAAGTTATGAGGAACTACCAGGCACCACAGATAAACAGCTGGGCATCAAGAAGACCTCAGGTGACAGTGAACTAAGTCTTAATCTGGAAATATCTGAGAAAGACACACCAGTTAAATGCTGTGATACAGCACAAAATTCAGCATTGAAAACCCAGTTCAAAATGGATGGTGATGTAAAAGAGAAAATTCAGAAACCAGAGAATAAAAATCACCCCCTGGGTTTTTATGAAAACATTGAAGATTTCAGTCAGAATACTTTTAATTAAAAACAAGATCATAATTCTGAGGAGTTCCAAGAACTGATTCCAAACCAACCTTTCTCTTCTCACTCCTCATCTAGTGGCTTCAGGTACTGAAACTTCAGAAGAAACTGGCCACTTTGGAGATGTACAGAGTTTCAGAATGGGGAATAAAAGCTCCTTGCTGAGAATAAAAGAGCTAAATTTCCATAATGAAAAAGGCCTTAGTATAAGCCTTGACAAAATATTATGGGGAAAATAAACTGAAGACACCTCAAGTCAGAGGTTAAACATAACAAATCAGATAACAGTAATGCAGCTAACTCCAAAAAGAAGGGTCTTCCTCTTCAGCTAGCAGTGCAAAATAATAAACAGGGCAGTGGAGAAAAAACCCAGCATAATCTACCAGATTAGTAAAAGATGGAGCAATACTTGATGCTCTTGCTGATAGCTGTGAACGGAACAAATTCCCATAAGCACGCAAAATCACCTGAAAGTTGAAGGAGAAACAACATGGGACGACTCATGTTCCCATCATGAGCTTCTGGTAGCAGGGAATGGGTCAGAGGACAGTCTTAATTCAGATCTTTTAAAGAAATATCAAAGTTGCATGTGATACAAAGAAAAGATTATTTTGAATCATCAGATTTAGGCACATCAATTCAAGTTGTTATGACAGTGCAGGATATAAAAATATAGAAAATGAACCTGAATTTTAAAAGGCATCACAAACACTACTTCCAAAGGTACAGTAGTACCCAAGGCTTTAGCTGAGTCCAAGTAAAAAATGTAGTGATAACAAAAGCAGCAGTGTAGTCACATGATCTTAGTCAGACTGAACATGAACTTTTACTCTACCAGCCCTCTAAAATACAGGATAATTTTTAAAGAAAGAAAAAAAAATAGAAAAATAGTGTCTCTTAAAACCCTCAAACTAGAAAGCCAGACTGCTATAAAAAAAACCCCCAAAACAACAAACAAACAAACAAACACCACAAAACCAAAACAAACAACCACACAAAACCAAAAAGAAACAAAGAAAAAAACCAACAAAACAAAAAAACAAAGACCAGATTGATAAATCTTGGCAAATTGAGATTGCTTGGGAACCTGGTTGATAGGTATATGTTGAAAGAGAACATACTGTTGTACCTGAAATAATGCATAATAATGAAAAAGTAATTGCTGCTACTAAAACAAGACAGAAGAGTTAAAGAAAAAAAATAAAAAAAGAATTGGAAAGCCAGAGAGAGTCAAAGTCCAGAAATACAAATAATAAAAATTAAACTTAACAGAAAGGGTTCCAGGTAGTATTTTTACCAGATCATTTGGGTTCTTTGCAAATATATTTAGTAAAACTAACAATTAAGCTTGTAGAAAAAAGACTGTGGATACATGTTATGTAAAAAAAACCCCAACAACCCTCAAATGAAAATAAGGATGACACTAGGACTAGTATAATTAAATACTGCACAGAAGAATGAGATGGAATTAAGAGAAAAGGAATCTGAACAAGAAAAAGCCACAACTTAAATCTGTAGAAGGTGCAGAAAATTATGAATTCAATTTAGAAATAATGCAAGATAAATTTGAGGGGAAGGACAGTGTGGCATTTTGGAAAAAATAGTGCTGCAGAATCCAGGAAAAAAAAAAAAGAAATGGACAAAATCATAGCAGGACAGACAGAGCTCATATCCCCAAAATAGCGTAGGATAAACACTCAGATTTACCAAACTCATTGATTACATTCCAACAATTTTATTTGAAGTTACAACAAGATGCTAAGCAATCCTTAGAGCATTCCTGTTAGGGAAGCACAGTGATGCAGCTGCACCAGCAATTTGAAGATTGATCATGGAATCACAGCTCACTCATGTGAAGTCACTATTATGCAGAGGAAACAAGTGACTGTGTCTGCATAAAAGGGGCACAATTTCAACACTGGGCAGGAAAAATGCTTCCAAAAAAAGGAATGTTCTTCTAGAGTTGCCAGAGCTTTTGTCTGCTATAACAATTTAGTGTGCAGTCCAAACTGCAGCTAAAGGTACTGGACTAATGCTTCACTAACAGTGATTTAGCAATAACAAAATATGCTTTGTTTGAGGGAAAAAATACAACAGATACATCACTGTCTCCTGGTGATTTAAAGTAAAGAGATAGTGAGTCTAACTCATAGTTATTAATGACTGTTTTATGATATTTTGAGGATCTGATCATACAGATGGAGTTAATATAATGGCAACAGTTTCAGAGCCAGTTACTCTTCCTGACTTTTGACTACTGGATTATTTATTATGCACATCTTTGGCCAGAACTGGCTGGAAGCATAGAATTCAAACATTAATACGTTTGTTAATGGCTTCCCCCCGCCCACATGGGTAAGCAAAGTGTGGGGTTTTTTGGAAGCAGCATGTTATCAGCTTCAGGAAATTTACTCCAAGTCACTGACCTGGAGGCAAGTGGGTGCTTCCACTCAGACTTCTACACAAACATGCCTGTGGTTTCTTGTACTTTGCAGGGAAGTTTTGTTATCTTGTGGGAAGCTGTTAATCTTTAATACTACATTACATTTCTAATTGTTCTTTACATAAAGCTTTTTCCACCTGGATATAACATGAAACCTACTAATCCTGAACAAGCATACTATGGCTAATTATCAAAACCAAGCATATTTTTTCCTGAACATTGATTTTAACTACTCTATCACACCACTAATTTTGCTTAAAACTCTATGCTCCAAACTCTGAGACCATTATTCGAGCAAGTAAATAATAAATTATAAATCTGTAGCACATTTTTATTCTAATGTTATTCTAATGTTTTATTCTAGTGTTTGGCTTTGAGGAAACAAACAAACAAAATCTTTGTAGTTTAATATCTTATTAAAAATTGTGTAAGAGAGAGTTGAATCCTCTGAAAATAAGCATGATTTCCCTTCACAATTATTTGCAGGGGTAGGCAGTAAAAGAAAGCTACTAGAAGAAGCACCAGAGAAGGAACATGAAATGACTGCAGCTGTAGAAAGTGACCCCAACAGTGACCAACATTTAAAAGCAACAGCAATTCCTTCAGCAAATTCTGAAGATAAAATGGACAGTTCCATAGGTGACTCTCCATCTGACGCCAATAAGCCTTTCTCAGATGCCATCCAGAACTATGTTCCAAGTAATGGTAAGCGTTAAGTTTCTTAATTTTAAGGAAAATAATTTTGCAGCCTTCAGAACAATTTGAGTTTGTTGACAATTGTAATGTAAAATCTTTCTTTTTCCTTATGAAAAAACAATAAGGAGGGTGGATGTATCAGATACTTCTGTGCTTCGATGCTCTTGAGATTGGGGAATCGATAAAATCTCTATTTTCAACAGTGACAAGTATTATCAAACAGGTAAGAATTCTTTATGTGATATAGTGTTGACATTAGTGCAAAATTTAGCCAAGTTATGTCCTGCAATGAAGCTCCTAAAAAAAAGAAAGGAAAAAAGATCCTTTAAAATAAACCAGCTGCAATTCCCTTGTTTCTAGGGGAAATCTGATGCTAAATGAAATAGAGAAGGAACATGAAACTGTCAAGTTAGCTGCTGTTCATCTGCCTCCGTTGTTTGCACTGCAGAATCTAATTAACTTGGGGTGTTGTTTGTGTTTGCTTGTTTTACAAAGCAGCCAGGAAACACCTCAGTGGTCAAACTCTCAGCATTTTGAGATTTGGTTTGGTTTTTTAAAGGAAACTCAGAGCTCCCTCTAGTTCCCATGACAGTTCTGATTAAAACTTTGCTTGGATTTAGGAAGTTTGGGTTAGGGTGAGTAAAATAACCAGAATACTTCCATTGTTTTTAAAAAGTAATTTCAAAACCTTGATTCCCAAAGATTCCCATACTTCATAACTGCATTAGAAATACTTTTCTGAGCAAATAAAAAAAATAAAAAATGGGATTACAATTGCTATAGGGATGTCTTTAAGTATCAAAATGAGGGACAGGGCGAAGGTGAACCTTCCTGGACATAGCTGCCCGGGAAACAGGGCTGCCAGAGGAATGTGAGGAAAGGTAGATGATGTTGCACTGTGCCCTCTAAACAGTAGTATCACGTAAAGTAGTACATGGTAAACTTAATTGTGGCACTTTGGTGTAACTGTGGTTAGACTGAGTCACTGAAATTTAAGAACCATAAAAATTTGTTCCTAATTTCCAATGTACTCACATAGATTCTGGCTAAACTGCAGCCTAGGAGACAAAAACTGAAGGGCGTTTGTTTTTTTCCCTGCTGGAACAGACGGGATTTCAGTGCTGGTTGATAGTTCACTGCGACAGGCAAACTCATTTTTATGTAGTTTGGCACGGCCACAGAAGCCGCTTCTAC